CAGCCATGCGCTTGGACCAGGCATTGGGCCATCCTGTCCTACAGCCTCGCGTTCCACAAGGCCGGGGAAGCTTGACCGGAAACCGTCGCAGGGCAGGGCTCTCAGGTTGTGGGCTTGCTTAGGGCTATCGGATCGCACGTGGCCACAGTCGACGGTCCTATGATGAGGACTGCAGCAAGCCGAGAGAAAGATATCACACTTCACACATGCAGAGTTGTTGCGACGACAGATCGCCAGACTCTCCCATGCTCGAAGCTTCTGTAGTGCGCTGCCATATCCGGTATATGCTTTTGCTGGTACTACTTTTCGGATGGATCCTTCGTTGACCAGCAAAACCGAGTCGAACTGCCTGCTGCGGTCTGGATTCTGCTGCCGGACTGTTTCGGCAGGTTCGGCACGAAGAGGTGATGGCTCGAGCTGCACTGGTTCTGTGCGAAAGGGTGCGGGAGCTGCTTGGAAAGCACCGCAAGACTTCGGACTCCATGGACTTCGGGTTTGCTGCAAGCTGGTAATGATGCAAGTGGCTGACTTGATTCTGGCTCTGTGATTCTGATGAAGACCGAGGTTCACATCTCAGCAGTGTCTTGGTCTTCATTTGTGGGAGTCGGGGTCTGGGGAGGAGGAGCAGGAGGAAAAGGAGGAGGAGGAGTGGTAGTAGCAGTAGCAGTAGTCGTCGTCGTAGTCGTATTTGGTCGTGGTCGTCGTAGAAGTTGCGCTCGTAGTGGTGGTGATAGTAGCAGTGGTGGTAGTAGTAGAAGCAGTCGTCGAAGGAGGAGGAAACCAGGGCAGGAAGCACCTGCAGTGGCTCTTCCGAAGGCATAACTCCAGCTGTAAGATGGTATAAGAAACTCGGAGTTGTCATCGTTCGCGTGCGCTGCTGAAGGATTTCTATGATTATGTGGTCCATGGCCGTCCTGAACTGCCGCAACCATGCTGAAGTTCTCAGCTCTGCAGTGGCGGAGGAGCAAACATAAACCGACGTCGTTGGGGTTGTGGTAGTATGGTTGGAGGGCTCAGCCGACCTGTAAGACATCGAGGCAAACCGAGGCTCGTGTGGCCCTAAGTGGTGATACCATGCAGGGATACGCAGGGCGACTCGAATTCGATTCCAGTCTTCAGCTGCCCCGCTGCTGTTGCAGGAACTCTCTACGAGGCCAGCTACGGCCACGCCCTCTCTTATCGTGCCTGAGCTGGATTTCGTTGCATGACATGTCAGCACAGCGCCGCGGCTGTGCAATCTCCCGCTGGATCTGCTAAGTGTGCTGCCTGTGCTTGCCCTGTTGACACTGCCGAGATCTGCCTGTGGTCCTGTGCCATTCTCGCTGGGCCAGCTGCAGCCTTGCATACAATGCACCTCGGATATTCCAGTTTGCCCCTGCGACTGGCTATGTTGCCGTAGTCCCGGGTGAGTGAATCTCTGTGAGTCTCAGTTTCCTTTCGCAGATTTACGAAATACTTCCTGTCAGGAAGATCCTGCTTTCAGACGACTTCTGGGATCGCGAGCTTAGTCAGCTTCTCGTTTGCAGTGGAGATTGTCAACGAAGACGGATTGTTATGACTAGCCTGTTGCATGACACGGATTCAAGGACTTACAAGAGCACTTTGCTGCACCAAGGCGACACTACACCATGCTCTACTACCTCATGGCTAGTTGGAAGGCTGGCTTTGGTTGGACGTGGGGGGAGGGAGTTTCCAGCACAAGCATTAGTAGGTCGCTCGATAAAAATCGAACACGTTTGGGGTCTCTGGCATCTGACTGTGGTTTGCCGCAGCAAGGACCAGAACACGAATCAGGTTTGTCCTGCGAGACTCGCTCATGCAGCTCTTAGCTTAGATCGGGTTGCACCGTCAATACTGATGGGCAACCGCAAGTTTGCTGTCCAGCTGCAGGCCCATGTCCCCAGAAGAGCGTTGCTGGTCTGGGAGATGTTCTGCTTTGTCATGTGCCGTTTATGATTGTTAGTGTGCCCCAAAGCCTCGAAGACCGCAGAGGCAGAGCTTGGTCTCTCCGTGGACAGCTTGCTTGGGCACACGGTTTGCCGGCGCTGTTACGAGGACTGCATGGCTTTCGGTTTGACTTGCATCTCTCAAGGTCGGGACGTGAGGGCGCAGACCTCTGACTGCAGGAGGCAACGGCTTTGTACATGGGCGAACAGCATCGGAGGCTGTCGGACCGCCTGCGGGTGCAGCAAATCCCACACCAGGCCACGACATGTCAGGGCAAACACTTCCGGCAGAGCCGTGGAGCCGTAGAAATTGCTTCTGAACCACGTGCCGCCGTTGCTGGGACGCAAATGACTCCAGAGGCAAATGCCATGGCACCTATCCTTGATGGCTTTGGCGAATCTGGTGTACGGGCTCCTCGGCTGCCGAGAAGGCCGGGCCGAAGCCTAAAAGCAGAAGACCGCTCCTCGCAAAGGTCGACGTTGCGATCAACAAGTTGAAGTTGGTCATCGAAGTGGAGGCTGCGATGGGCTTTGGAATGCATAAGACAGGCTGACAGGCTGTAGATGATGTCCAGTCGTGTGTCCGTCAAATGGCCGAACAGTGGCGGAAGCCCTCAAGCGATGGGGAAGTGCTATTGATTGGAGCTTTGTCGACGTGTTGGCAGGGGCCACAACGGAATACCATTCCCTTGGAATTGCTGACAGCCAGGCGCCCAGAGGCCAAGGTGTCTGTTTTCTCTCTCTTTTCGTCTGGTTCCGGTGGCGTTTTGCGTCTGATGTCAAGGAAAAGCTCATCGAGGAGGATCAGCTGCGAAGCTTTTCGTCGGGGGATAGAACCGACGTTCTGGGCCAGGTGCGGGATTTCTGCGAGCAAATAGATGCTATTGCTTGGAGCATGTTACACCTACGCCAGCACTTGCGCGATTCCATGAGCACTTGTCGGACTTGACATAAACAGTGGTGCTGCCGTTAGTTTCTTTGCCAAAGAAGAAGCCCTGGCCTCCTTGTTAGAATGGTGGAGTCGAGAGCCCCGCGACAGGCCAGAGAGTTTGTAGAGTGCGGCCTTAACGGGCCTGCAGCCTTCAAGCGGCGACTGCTCCGTTTCATGGCTGCGAACTCCGCTAAGGCATCTCAGAGTTTTCTACTGTGCTCTCCCGTTCGGAGAGGTGTTAACTGGAGAGTTTTTTTTTCCAGTGTGGGTGTCAAGCTGTGTGGGAGAGCTCTTCTACTCCGCGCTCCTCCAAGGCCTTTGCGGCTGGAGGGTGGTGACGATCTCTTTCGACGAGAGCACCTGGCGCCAAAAGGGTTGAGGGCCTCCCAAGGGACCGAGCTGAGGAGTGGGTCAATGTAGTTAATCTCACTGAGGCCGAGGGGCTGCATGCTCGGTGCATCCGAGGTGAAGAGTACATAGCCGACGCACTCAAGAAGATGATGAAGAAGGGGCAGGGCGACGAGCAGGCCTCCGCATCGTTTCGAGTTCAGAGAAGTGAAGAAGTAAAGTCTTTCGGGACCTGGTTTGTGATAGCCTTTATGGCTTTTCTGGCTACCAGAACCCTCTTGCACAGGGGGCTGCAGCTCCAGTGTCAGACAGCTTCCCGGAATCGGCTGCTTATGTGGCTTGCCCTGAAGCTGTCACAGTACGACATCCCGAGCTGGGACCGGTGTCTTTGCCACATGCCAGCAGCCGAGGACTCGATCCAAGATTTCGATCCCATGTCCATCGAGAAGCCTGATCCCAGCAACATCTCTGACTTCGCCACTTGCTTTTGCAGCTTTGAGCTTCGCAACCCTGCTTCGTGTAGCGCACTTGTGTACTTACGCTTGATAAGAGCGGTCCAGGGTTGACAGGCAGCGTCCAAGAGATGCTACTGTGTCATACACTGCTTCTTTTCTCCTCACCCCTTGCGTACATCAGTATAACGGGTGGGGGCCAGGTGGGTGCCATATCTACTAGTAGAGGTTCGCCGTGCTTGCCGAGCCCAGGAGGTGCAACTACGCGCTCTCCACGCTGATGCTATGAGAAAGCTCCGGATTCAGCTCTTCGAGGATGGACCTGCGCGTCTGCATGCTCATGGACTCATAGGTTTCTTGACTTGGGTGACCTCGAGAGGTGCAGTGATGCCTGAAAGCAGGATTTGGAAATTTTCGAAAGGTAAGGTGCCTCGCAGTCCAACTTTGAAAGGAGCGAGGGGACGTAGCTGCTGCTGGCAGCTACGCGAACTTCCTGGAGTACCGGCAATGGCAGGCTCGGGGAGTGCGAAGCATGCGAAGCTTCACCGCAGCTTCCGCCATCCTTGCGGCCCCTGCAGTCACAGCGGTTGCACCCACGACAGGTTGGTGTCGAGAAGCAGATTCTCGCCGAGCTCGTGGCAAGCATTCAAGCCGAGGCCATTAAGCAGAACGAGAAGATTTCTCGGAATAGGTTTTTTTTTTTCAGGATACTGGGCAGGGTGGAGAGAGAGAGAGAGAGAGAAGGATAGAGACAGAGCGATAGAGAGAGAGAGAGAGAGAGAGAGAAAGAGGCAGTCCAGCAGCACCGCCGAGCCGCCCGTGACAACTGTCGCTAGCAGAATGAAAGGATTGCACGTGTGAGTAATCAAAGGGCTCCCCATCCGTTTGCTTCTTTTCTTTCTGTATCCGACCAAGATGTCGCGCGCAGGTGCCTGCCTAGCTTCCCGAAGATGATCCGCCCCAACCAGACGATTTCAATGCTGTGACGGGCGGATGAACCTTGGTACTGGCGAAGTACTGCACCGGGCGAGCACGCACAGGTAAAGCGTTTATGACACATTGGCTGGGCGCGTCCCCATCCAATCGTTGGTGCCAGGTTCGTGTTTCACCCCTCGATGGATAGTTCAATGGCTTGCGAAAAGAAACAGTACCACGAAGCCCAATCCAGAGTCGTGCGAGCAGTTGCAGTCACGGGTTGCTGTCGCTTCCCTGACGGTGCCTTCTGCTGCGCTCTCTCTCCGCTTTTTGGTGAGAGCTGATGCCGTCTGATTCAGACGTGTTACATTGCGGGGCCATGAGTAGCTTGTTAGCGGACCGGGCGAGGCAAGAACGATCGCGGTCAGCTTGGCTTACCTAGCGCCTCACCCGTCATAGACCTGCCCGGCACCTAGCAAGTGAATTGGATGAGGGATTTGAGATACCAGTACTTCTGAAGACGGACGAGCAATGGCCGGGACATTCGGCTGAGCTTGTCATCACTTATTCGAGACACGCACTGATACTTCTGCTCCAGATCAGAATGTCATGTCTCCGGCTCGGATCGGATATTCTCTGTCCACGGAAGGTCAGCGGTCCACAGCTAAGTTCCGTCCCTCAGTTAAATCAGGCCGTGGAGATTGCAGATTCCAGAGCTACAGGACATGCGCGAACGCCGCAGGGACCTTGGCTTTCTGGGGCGAGGTTGCGAAGACCCCTTAAGGCCATCAAGAGCTCTAGCTGATGCTTGAGCCCAGCAACGGTTTTGAAATAGAGTCGCGGGTAGACAACATGTGATGATGCCAGTAGCCTCTTCGAGAAGTGTGTTGTTCGCTGATACAGTTTCCCTTTCGAATCGGCTCAAGCAAGTGTCGTTTCAATTCCGGAAGGGCCTCGTCCCTCTTCCGCCCCTTGTGGCGCCAGCGTGGCAGCATGGGGGAGTGTTATACGTGCGGCGTCTTGGATGCGTTACAGCTCGTACCAAGCAGAAGAGACAGCTGGTGCCTCACGCTACACACTTGGATCTCTAAAAGCTTCGTGAGCAAGCACCGGCCTGTGTCGACTCGACTGCGCGTTGCAAGTTGAAAGGTGAGTTCGGTCACATCTCTCGAGATTGCCAGAGCCCCAGGAATGATATCATGTTCCGCTGCCCTGATTCATGTGTACTTCAGATTCCCTGGCCCAGGCCCCCAAAAAGGAAAGCCTGGTTTCAAGGCCTTGCCCTCGCCATTTCTATTCCCTGAAGCATGGTGACTCAGCTGAGCGTGACAGGAAGTTTGTGGAGACTATCGTCGAGGACGATGTGACCGCGGAGATTCCTGTCGCTTCCTGCACGAAGGAGCAGGCGAAGACTTGGAGATGCCTTGAACTTGAATCCTGTCAGAAAGACCTAGTCCGGCCTTGTGCTGAGGCAGCAATAGGTTTAGCGCCGAGTCAATCGCAAACCAAGCGGGACAGGCTCCGGGGGCTCTGGGCGCTATGCTTCTTGGCCTGGCCGGGTGAGTTAAGGCAGTTAAGGCTTGTTTGCAAGAGAGCAGCGATGATTGCCTACTTTTCAACAGCGATTATTGCCTACCCTAAGGACTCTGACCGCCGGGGGCGGGATGACTGCGATCGTGGTGATCGCAACTTGAATCGCCATTAAAGGCCACTTCCGCAGGAACACCTCGTAGGAAGGGTCTAGTTGGTCCAAATTAAAAGTGCGGGGTGTTTCTGCAGATTTCACTTGTGGCCGCGGCTGCAACACTTCACTTCGGCTGCGTGATTGGGGTCAGCCGATTCCATGTTCCATCGTGTTCCTCTGGCATAAACACCTGCCGCATTTTGACGCTGAGGCGGCCGCCGAGATGATGACAGAGATCGGAGGCGACGACGTGCCCCGGCCTGGAAGCGAAAGGAAGGTCAAGTTGCTGAACCTCTGCATTCTGACAGCGAAAGTAGGGATTTGCTTTATTAAGCAAGTGGCGAATACCGCATTTGGGAGCTATTTGCTGCCACACCTTTTGCCATGACCCCCTCAAGCCACAATGTCACCATCGTCACCACCGGTCTTGTCAGCCGGTGCGGCTGTCCAGCTTGCATACTTATGAAGCGACAGCATTGTGTGTCCTCGGCTCTCAAAGGAGACTCGAGTGATTCCCGATCGCGATCCCGCCGCAGACGCTGAGAGAGCCACGAAGACCCGTAGCTAGATGTAGCCATGAAATTACCTTATGCCGGTGACAGAACGCTGTGCCCGGATTCTTTTCGCGACTCAGATTGGCGTCCGCCAGTCAGACTTTCGAACAGTGGGCATTTGCTTCGAGACTACCCGTGCCAAATTGAATGGTCTATGTGCGACAAGAGTGCGCGAGTACCAAAAAGGAGCCGCTGCTTTTCGCTACCGCGCAGTTCAATGGAGCTACGATCACGCAGCAGCCAAAAGCAGGCGAGGTTTAGGTGGCGAAACTATCAGCCAGCACAAGCTGCATCTGTGCACAGAAGAGCTGTCACGGGTGCCGCGACCGCTCGGAATGGTGCTGGACACCAGCTCCTTTGAGTGCAGCCACCCGTGCACTTGACGAATCCGCGCTTGAACGACGGCCATTTCTGCATCAACTTCACCGAGTCTGACAGAGGTGCAGGCAGATTAGTGATTAGTGGGTTGCCGAGCTCTTCCTGCTGGCTCCCAACCCGTTGCCGGCCGCAGGGAAGTGGACGTGGCCAGGCGATCAAGTGACTGGATGTGGCACTGTTTGCCCACACTTCAAGAAGGCTTGGGATTGCACCAGCATACCACGGCTGTGGCCAATCCAATACTTGTGGTCTGAAGGCGTTCATTGCACCCGTTCTTCCCCTATCTTCTTCTAGCCCAAACGAAGAAGCATCTGCGAAGCATCAAACGGAGAGCCTCGATGGCGCAGCCTGCAGGGAGCAGAAAGCCGACCACGCGACGTTTTAGGGCTTTGCGGGTGAAAGTGAGCTGTTGGCTGTGATCGGAAAAGGACCTGGGACCTGCCCAGGCTTTTTGGGTCTCTGGCGGTTTCTGCGACATGTGCTGCAGTACTCCACTGGCTTGCGATGCGACGTGAGGTGGCCGTAACTACACGCTCACCCAGGCTCTCGGGCCTTCTGTTGTGCCGGGGGGCGAGGGGGCGAAGCCAGACTGTGCTAGTTCGATAGTGGCCAATGCTTCCGACCAGTGCTTCCGCGTGATCAGTCCTGCATGGTCAACCCTAGCTGAATGTGCCAGCACCTGCAGGTAGCCACAGGGTGCTAGCCTCATCCGGGAAGCGCCGCTTCACGTCTCTGCTTCGCTAGAAAGCCGCATAGGAGAAGAGAATCCTCTGGCATGTGTGCTACGCTTAAAAGTCTAGTGGTTCACAGCCAGTAGCGGAATTCTGTGCTTCTTGTGACTTCCCTTTCACATCCTTTTGCCTTCTTCCAAGGGTTCACCACTCCATGTGCATTGCTATGCTGGACGACCCGCGCGGGCAGCGCAAAGAGTCCCCTCCTCAGCCGGCTCAGCCGGCTCACGGCTCACATGGGCTCTTCGTTTTTGGCTGTCGCTTTGGGGCCGTCAGTGCATGTACACAGACGGAAAGCATGCAGTGGTGAGTTCCTGCCTATACGTTGGATGGCAAACCTCACCCACAGCCTTCTGAACACCCTCAATACCGTGCCTCTGGATCTTCTGGACTCTAAGAGAATTAATAAAGGACCAAGACCAAGCTAAAATCAGAATGGCAGAAGGGCCCAGTTCGAAGCGGTAGAACGGCGGCGATGGCGGGCACAAACGGAGGCGGCAGACCTCGGAGGCCGGTGCTCCGTGAAGTTTGACGAGGCATCGCTGCTTGCTGATTGCTCGCAGGCCGCTTTGGGCCCTCGAACCAGGTGAAGTGCCCTGGAGCGCTCTGGAGACCTGGATCTCAGTGCAACTAGATGCAGTGTTTAGATCGAGTCTCAGAATTGTACTGGACCACTGCGAGTGCTTTGGGGTGAGTCTTGCTTGAAGCCTTGCACTTGCTCGCGGCTCGTCGCGTTTTTTTTTTTTTTTGTTGTGTGTGTGTGTGTTCCTTGCTGCTAAACTGCTATTCCTCCTGTAGCCGAGGCTCTTGATATATGGATGGTACTCCTTCTGTGGCCGGTTTGCGGCGTACCTGCTTCCACAAGACCAGTGGCTGCGTAGCTCATTCTAGCTGTTTCGTTTTGAGGGGCGGGGCAAGCTGTACTTCCCATCTCGGCCATCTATCTGCAAATCGCGCAGCTCTTCCCGGTAACTCTGGTTACAGTATGTTACAGTACTGCAGGTGTTTATGCGGCACCTGTCCCATTCTTGTCGAGGATGTTCCTCGGGGTTTCCGTTGACAATTATGCGCACGCCCAGTCGGCATGATGGGTATTTCGTTGGTGACACGGCTTGACCTCTATGAGGTCCTATCCGGCGACGGAGTCCCGTTTATGGGTGCTGGGGTGTGGCAGAGTCGTCATCGCATCCTCACTGTCACTTATTCAATAATCCGTCCCAGCACGACGTTCTTCAGAGCTTAGTGGCTTAGTGCTTCCGACGCAGTCGTACGTGATGTTGCTTTCTCACGGGAGCCGCTTAAGGTGAGTTGCTCCCATTGCCAATAAGGGATCGGCTGGAGCTTCTCAGGTTGAGTCGCCTGTGGTTGGGCCAGATAGGCACCTACGCGCTGACGTGGACATCTCTCAAGCCTTTGCTGAGGCGACCCCGGTGCCAGTGATCCAGCGTGCAACTCAAGGACATGTCTTGGCTGTCCGAAGGCAAATGTCTCCAGACAGCTTCCGGTTTCTACTGGCTTTTCCACATGGTCTGTGGCGCTGGGTCTTGTCCGGCTTCTTGGACAGCAGACAGGACGTCCTCCAGATATCCATCCACCCAAAGCCTTCCAGCAAAGCCTCGTAGCTTATTGCCATACGGAAGGCTTCGTGTCTCTACCTTGCTAGCGGATTTCAACCTTTACTTTTCAGTGGTCGCTACCAGACCAAGCAACGCAGCCTCCTCCATCATGTCTTACTTGGTTCCACACCTGTCTTCACAGAAGCCCGCTCCTCGTCCCTGGTGGCACCTGGTGCCTAGGCTTCATGGCGTCTCTAGCCCTTGGCTACCTGGCAGCCTGGTGGCCGAAGGCTTCTGTGGGCTTCTGTAAACCCTCCCTTTGCTTCACCCAGCAATCCAACAAGTTTCCGAAGAGGCATGTATGCTTCGGCATTTCGGAGAGGTGGCTACGCATTCCTTGTCTATATACAAGACTGTACGAGGTTTTGACTCCGTGCATGGAAAGCGCATGAACATGCCGCACTCTCGTTACTCGATCTGTAGTTCCAGATCCTCGGCTAGCGATTGGGAAGCGATGATCCTTCCAGTTCCCCACAGGATTACGCCTTTGTTCTCGCAGCAAGGGAGGTCACGCCGCAACAGGCTTTCTTGAGATCCCTTCCGGATAGTTAGGATTCGGACCATTGGGGCCCGAAAGCTGACCGAGGCTTCGTGGTCGCTCCCCTCGGGCGGGGACAGGCCGGTTCCGAGCACAGTTGGCAGCATGCTTGCGGGATGTCTGAGATGAGAAAGCCTGAGGTGTCTCCTGGCCCACTGCTACCGGAGTTGCTCGTCTCGGAACACTTCATTTCAAGGTCCTGGATAATTGCTGATCCTGTGGTAATCTGGGATTGTCGTTGGGCTGACAAGGGAGGGGGTGAGCAAGTGCTGGCACCGGAAGGAAACGACTGGATGTAGTACGTAGTCACAGTACAACACATGAACCCTTTGAAGCCTGAGACTTTGATTGCCGCCCTGCAAAGGCTATCTTATGCTGCTCAGCTAGCAGGGGAAGGTGGCACGTGGGCAGCAGCTCGGTGCCATTGGTGTCGCACAGGCAGGAGCGCGCGCAGGAATGTTGTATGCAGGTGGCCAGTCTGATCCTGCTGGTGGGCCTGCTGGCTCCGGCCTTCGAAGAGCCTCTCGCCTTGAAAGGCTTTGAGGGGGGTGAACTCCCGTTTGAAGGTATTAGCTGTCGCGATGCTTCCGACTAAGGCTATTTTTCCGTGGCTTCCTCCTTCTGGCCTTCTCCAAATCCAACCCAATCTTCTGGAGCAGCTTTCTGCCACCCAGCGATCTGGTCGGCGTGCGCTTTGCATTTGCCCCACACGTGCAGATCTGCGGAAATTCACACTCCTGCCCACCGAGGTTTGGGCTCTTCCATTGTCATCCGCAGCAACTTCAGCCCTTGCGGCCTCTGGTTCCCAGTGCTGCGATGGGGGCTCTGTTTGCATTGCCTCTTGGCCTCGACTGTGTGGCGTTGGATTGCATGGGGTTTGGGTGTGCAATTGAACGGAAGATAGAGTCATGATCTTTTCGCTTGGGCAAGTTGAACATCCTCCTGTCTGTATCGGTGCCAGGATTCTGCAAAGAACCGGCAGCTTGAGACTTGGACGGCATATGCTGCATGCTGTTCAGACGACTTGTGTTTGCACTTTTTAGCAGTGTTTGTTTTCTTATCCAGCAATCAGGCCGGTTGCCATCTTTCTCCATCAGCTCTGGAATGGATTACATTTGTTTTTCGTGGCTTGTTTGGCATCGTGGCACTTCTCCGCGCGTGACTTGGAGCACGGGGCAGTAGATGTACTCGATCCACGTGCAGCTTGGAGGCTGCAGATTCCTAAGCCTGCCGCGGCCAAGGCACGATCGAAAAAGCTGCGATCTGCCGCCTGACCTGGACAGTGTTTGTTATCATCATCTGTCGTCAATGTAACAGCAATAACCGCAACGGGTGACAGTGGTGAAGGCGGTCTGATGTTGCTGTGTCACATGTCTCCTGTCGAACTCTGGCAACGCAAGGCTATGTCTAGGCATCTTCATGCTGGAGATCTCGGAGTCCATGCTGAGCGAAGCGCGGGTCGTGTGATGTTTTCGCAGAGACCTCTGTGAAGAGGAGGCAGTAGAGGCACGGCCTGGTCATGAACGATGAGGCGATGGGCCGCTCCAATTGCCTCTCTTTTCCGACTGGCGAATACTGGCGACATCACCTACCCTTGCAAGTCAAGTCCAAAGGGGTCGAATGCCACGGATGCCTTTGATCCAACCAAACTTGGTGGCTTTGCGGAGCTTGCGGAGCCTGTTTCGGATGAGGTGTCAGAGAACATCGCCCAAAGGCCTTTGCTGGGGACGGGCTCAGCGTCAGACTCAGCCTGCCTGGCCTGGCTCATGTTGAATGTGATGTAGTGACAATGGCGTGAGCCGCAAAATTTGCAGAAAGGTGCGTGCTTGCAGCCTGTAGCCTGCACGCACTGCACGGTAACTCCAAGCCGGGTCAAAGCCGTATAGGTTTGAGGCCTGCAGGGTTTTTCTGAATCGAAGCAGTTCCAAGGCTGGTTCTAGATTCTAGAGGCCCAGAGGCCAGCAGGCTATCTGCGAGCTTGCATAGAGTCATGTCGGCTCGTCTTGTAGCTGGTATGTTGGGAGCCTTTTGCATACAACTCGGACGGGGTGCTTCCGACCGAAGTGTACAGTAACATTCTCAGGAGTTGCTTTTCGCCCCGCCGACTTGTATATCTAAACATCTATCTATTCGTCTCTACTTGGTATCATCTTGCTCTCTGTCTCACTCTCAAGCTCACGCTCACGGTCACGTTCACTCTCACGCTCACGCTCACTCTCACTCTCACTCTGACTCTCACTTTCACTCTCACTCTCACTCTCACTCTCACTCTGACTCTGACCCCCACTCCCACTCCCACTCCCACTCCCACTCCCACTCCCACTCCCACTCCCACTCCCACTCCCACTCCCACTCCCACTCCCACTCCCACTCTCACTCCCACTCCCACTC